ATATTATGTAGGAAGTGAGGAATATTTCAGCTCCTTTCATAAAAACTGTGACACTATATTAATCCTAATAAAGTGATTTTTTAATGCGATACAAAGGTTGTAATGCGTCTAAATTAAAATTTGCCCGAGTAATGGAGATCCTTTTTAATATCTAATTGTCAATTTATGTTGTTATGAATACATTATTCCCGTGACGAAGTCGTTTTCACCAGATTTTTTCAAAACAAATGAACAAGCATGCCCTAAACGATTCATTTTCAATGGGTAGGTAATTATTACATCTTGCACGTGCTTACAACGACACGCCCAGCTCTTTCGTTTGCGTATATTGATCTGTCGACTCTTCCAGCTTCTCTCTGGTTCTATTGCATATTTCTATTGCATATCCTTTTCTTTTACACCGAGAAACATCGGCGATACTTTTTTTATAACAGCTATGCGTTGGCTCGTTAATTTAAACGAAAATTAATACAGTGTAGACAACAGAGCCAAGTGTGAAACTAAACCTTCAGTTCAGCACTTGTAACTATAATACAGGGTTTTTATAAGTGATTTTGGGGGCGTAGTTTTGGCAGTTCTCACTTGTCATTAATGTCATGTGTAATCTGTCATTTAAAGTCATCGCTGGTCATCGCTTTTAGTGTTCTAATTTTTGTGCTAGGAAGCGAAGACCGTGAAAATAAATGTTTTATTTGATTGAATAAGATACTCTCGTTATTGTCTTTATTACCGCAATGGGGCATTCGCAAACGGAAAGTGGGTGTTTTCTTTAACCGCTAAAAAATCAATAAAATAAATATTCTAGTTTTATATAATAATAATTGTTCTATTCTTTCTGCTTGCCCACCCCTTGCCTTAGTTCCCTTATCTTCCATACTTCTTTCATCCAGTCCAGTCCTCTTCCATCCTCGTTTAGCACTTCTTCCCTACTTTCCTCTGATTCTCTCAATCCTTCACATACTTCCAGCACTTGCTCTCTCCAACATATCCTACACCTTCTGTCGGTTTCATCCATCCAAAAATTATTCTCTTTCTCTTCATTTCTACACCCAAATCTCGCCATCATTCTTTTTTCCTTTATACTCTCTCTCCCTGTGTACTTTGGTACTTCATGCTTTACTATTTTTCTATACTCTGCATTATATCTACACTCCCATTCTCGATTTGCGTTCTTACTTGTCTATATCCTTATCTCTTACACTCAGTTCTTCTTTCATACTCCTTCCCATTTCTCTCATTCTCTATATTTCCTTCATAATACTTGTCTCTTTCGTTCCAAACATGTTTCCCCTCTTCCTTTCTTATTTCTTTCCAACATTGTTGCAATATTTTATTTTACATTTTACATTTCATCTCTCTCACTAAACTTCTTTTCAAATCCAACCGCCCTTTTACCCGCTTCTGTTTTCATTTTCTCCCCTTTTGTTTCTTCTCTCACTTCTCTCTTCTCTTATCCCGGCGTATACTTTTCCAATCCCAATGTCCATTTTAAAGTATTTTTCTTGCATTCTCTCTCTATTTCTTCATATTCCCTCCATCCCCAAATCTCAGCTCCGTACATAAATACACATTTGATCAAACTATCAAACATCACCATTCTTCTCTTATAATCATGTCCAAATTGTCTCTCTCCTATTCCCCATACTACCACTTTGTTCGCTTTTTCGGACCAATTCTTGAATCTTTCTATCTGAGTTATTGCTCTTTAATGTATGTATATCCTAAGTACTGGAATTTTTTCACCTGTTCAATCTTCTTCCCTCTGCATGCCCACTCTTTCTTCTCCTTTCTTACTTTCTTCCCAAACACCACCATTTTTGTTTTTTCCATATTCATTTCCAATTCCTTTTTTTGTACGTACTCCTCGAGAGTTTTAATCTTTGTTTTCATTTCTTCTCTTTTCTTTGCCCACTACCACCTCTCCTGTCTGTGCTTTTCTGAACATTTCATCTATATCTCCTAGATAAGCTGCAAACAATCCGGGGCTGAGTGGACATTCTCCATCTACCACTTCCTATATCCTTTCTTTCACTCCTTCTGTTTGAACATTCACCCTTCGTTCTGGATTCCATCTCCTCCTGGTGCCTTTCCTCTTTTCAGTCTTTCAATCTGTCTTCCTATTTCGTCTTTTGTTATTTCCGAACCTCTCCCCATTTCTTCCGGCTCTTCCCTTATTTATTTTGCAGCATTTTTCCTCACAGCCTCCCAATAATTCCGTAAAGTGTCTTTTCCGTTCATGCATTTTGATTTTCGTACTGACTTCAGTCTTCCTTCTCCGTTCCTTGTTTATATATCTCCATACTTCTTCTTCTGTTTTCAGGGACTTTCTTGTCGTCTCGTTTTTCTCTTTTTCTTTCTTCATATTTTCTCCTATAATTCTTTCTTGCTTTTAAATACTCTTCTTTCTTCCCCTGTTATTCTTCCATTTTCTTAATTTTGCCCTTGCTTTGCTCTTCAACTCACTACATTCTCCGTTCCATCCATTATTCCTCTCTTGCCATATGTATATCTGTCTTTTTTCCGTAGCTTCTACAATTAATAATGAAAAGCTGTACTTTTTATTAAGAACTAATGACTTCCTACACACTGATTTTCATAGACTAGCTAGAAGTAGAGTTAGTGCTACATACTGGGGTCAAAAATTTTATAATAAACTGCCAATCCACATAAAAACTTATAATATTAATGTGTGGATTTTCCTCGTTTTTTGAAGCAACTATTCACAGAATGCAACCCTTTTTAGTAAAACCTCTTAAGAAACTTCTTTGAGTTTTATGGTAGGCGGGTTCGTGCGGGGAGGGGACAACGAACGGTTGAAAAATGATGATGTGTATTGCTGTTCAAAAATTTATCATTTTAGACATGTTTTAAGTTTCTTGTTGAAATAAGTCTACACATACTAAGAAAAAAAGGCAAAATGTAGCCCCGCCCACCCACCCTGTCTTAATTGTGATGATTTTTTTTTATTCGTCGTGAGCCAAGAAGGCGGAGCTTAACTGCAAGATTCTTATTTCTAAACGAGAAATTAAAAACATGTTTTTGAGTATCGTGTTATTCTAAGAATACTGTGTATATTAAGAAAAAATTAAGCCAAAGATTCAGCTCCATCCATACCTGCCCTGATCTGAATAGTAATGAAATTTTCATTCTTTGACAGATCTAGGGGCGGAGCCTAATTGCAAAATCCAGATTTCCTTACAAAAATATACCATTTTAAAAAGTTTTAAATTTCTAAGAATTAAATAAATCATTACAATTGAGATGGGGGGGAAAGCGGGGTTTATATTTTGCCTTTTTTTCTTATTTCCTTGCAAAAATGTACCATTCAAACCATGTTTTAAGTTTCTTGTTGTGAAAAGATGGCCATATATATTAAAAAAAAGGGCTAAATATAAGCCCCGCCCACCCACCCTATCTCAATTCTGCTGATTTTTTTTATTCGACGTAAGCCGAGGGGCGGAGCTTAATTTTAAAATCCTTACTTTTCTACGAGAAATTACGATGTGAAAATCGTGTTCTATAAAGAAAACTATGTACATATATTAAGAAAAAAATAAAGCCAAAGATTAAGCCCCACCCATATCTGCCCTGATCTAACTAGTAATGAAGTTTTCATTCGTTCGTTGACCTAGGGGTGCAGCCTAATTGTAAAATCCATGTTTCCTTTGAAAAATTTACCATTTTAAACGTGTTTTAAGTTTCTATGAATTAAAAAATTCATTACAATTGGGATGGGGTGGGTGGGCGGGGTCAATATTTTGCCATTTTTTTCTTAATATAGATGGTGTTCTTTGAACAACACGATACTTAAAAACATGTTTTTAATTTCTTGTAAAGAAATAAGTATTTTGCAGTTAAGCTCCGCCCCCGTGGTTCATGGTGAATAAAAAAAATCATCACAATTGAGACTGGGTGGGTGGGCGGGAAGGCCTACATTTTGCCTTTTCGTTTTACTATGCGTAGACTTCTTTTCACAACATGAAACTTAAACATGTTTAAAATTGAAAATTTGTATAAGGAAATATGGATTTTGTAATTAGGTTCTGCCCTATTATTGCAAAATCCGTATTTTCTTACAAAAATGTATCATGTTCTAAGTTTCTTTTTGTGAAAAGATGGCTATGTATATTAAGAGAAAAAAAAGCAAGATATAAGCCCCACCCACCCGCCCTGTTTCAATTCCGATGATTTTTTTTTAATCGTCGTAAGCTGAGGGGCGGAGCTTAATTGTAAAATCCTTATTTTTATACGAGAAAAGTACCATGTGAAATATGTTCTTAACTAATCGTGTTATACAAAGTAAACTATGTACATACAATTAAGAAAACAATAAAGCCAAAGTTTAAGCCCCACCCGTACCTGCCCTGATCTGATAGTAATAAAGTTTTCATTCGTTGGCAGACCTAGGGGCGGAGCCTAATTGCAAAATCCATATTTCCTTAGAAAAATTTACCATTTTAAACGTGTTTAAAGTTTCTAAGAATTATGAGAATCAATTACAATTGAGGTGGGGTGGGTGGGCGGGGTTAATATTTTGCTTTTTTTTTCTTAATATACATAGTATTCTTTGAACAACACGATACTCAAAAACATGTTTTAATTTCTTGTAAAGAAATATTTTGCAGTTAAGCTCCGCCCTCTTGGTTCACGACGAATAAAAAAGATCATCAGAATTGAGACAGGGCGGGTGGGTGGGGCTTATATTTAGGCTCCGCCCCATAATTGCAAAATCCATATTTCCTTGCAAAATGTACCATGTTCTAAGTTTCTTGTTGTGAAAAGATAGCTATGTACATTAACAAAAAAAACGAAAATACAAAGTTAGTAGCTGTTCTAGTAACATTAAAAAAGGATACCGACGGTAAACCTGTATTTTCGAGTTCTTAAAACTAGGAAGAACAAAAAACAGATATTAGATCTGTTGTTTTAGAAGTAAAAAGCGTAGCGTTAGTTACAATAAAGTGTAAGTCCTTTGTTAAATCACATTTATTGTCTTACAGATCTTGCGGGGCAACAGCAGCGACGTGTGTGAATTTAGAGATCCTTGTCAACATGGTGGGATCTGCATATCCACCGACAGTGGCCCCATATGCGAATGTCGCAACTCCGACTACGAGGGAGAGTACTGTGAAAAAGGTAAGCAACAAGAAAAAGATAAATGTTGCAAGTAATAGCAACAACTTTTATTATTGATTAGACTTTTAAAAATGAAATCCTTAAGTCAATTTTCTGTTTGTGAATGTTAAAGACTTTCCACGAAGATCAGCATTTTGCAATTTTGTTCACGAACATTTTTACTAAATGATTTGAATTTTATCAAGAATATTTTATTTAGTGACGAGGTCTAATTTTCCAACAATGGCAAAGTAAAAAACACAATTTACATTATTAAGCACAAGAAAATCCAAGGCAGATTCGTGAAACTCATTCTCAGAGAATTATTTCCATTAACTTTTGTTTTAAATGTAATGCTTGAAAGTGACACTTTGTTTTAATGTTTTTAAAACCGCAGACTTTGTGAATTTGTAATATTTTTTAAATTCTAGTGTGAATCAAAGAATAAATAAATAATGTATAATTATATTTCGGGCTGCTGCTAATCACAAATCACATTCGTCATTTAGGCCGAATCACTCTGTATATTATTACGAATTTCTCTTTAGAATTTTAAGCTACAATTAAATGGAACTTAATTATAACCTCAGCACCTCACTGCAATAAGAATAAACCAACATTTGTTTAACTTAACGTTTTTCCTTCGTTTACAGATAAAGCACCTTCGGAAGCTGTGTTTCGAGGAATGGAATTTTTATCGTACGACCTCAGCCAAACAGGAGGTGAACCTATAGTTAGTGCTCAAGACTCTGTTACATTTTATTTTAAAACTAGACAGCCAAGTGGATTACTTTTTTATACGGGTAAGTTTTTTTTACAAATTAAACAGATTTAATAAAACAAAGAGTAAAAATTAACTACATGTTGCTATCAGTATAAAAATAACCACATATATCGTTTTATAAAGAAAATGTCTAAGTAACAAATTTAACGAAGATTATAAATTAACAGCGTGGCACAATAGACAAAGTATGAAACACATCTACTTGCTTTGGACCATTTACTTCCCAAACGTCACCCCAAAATTTTGCTGATATGTCCTATCTAAAGTGTACAAAATATGATGAGTCTGTACTTGTGATTTATCATTCCATTCATATTTTTTAGATTTGCTTAACAGGTCGCTTAAAAACATTAATGAATGAGCCAATTTGTTTTATTGATTAAATCAGGAATAGTTAACTCCATATTACCGAAAATTTGGAGATACAACACTGTTATTATTAGTATTACATTACACCAACCCAATTTGATAGACACAAAATTTTTTAAAGTAAAAACCCAACTCAAGACGACCCAATTCATTTTCCCGAAAATTTAGGAATACAGCACTTTTATTTTTAATTTTACACTACATCTATCCAAACCGATATACGTGTCTTTGCAAAAATGTTGATGACGTCATCGCATTTTTTTTAAATTGCCCCGCTACAAAAATGTAATGAAAAAAAAACGCAATAGGCATCCAGTCGCCATGTTTCCGACGGCGAGAGAAGTACTGTCTAAACTCTTTAGATCAATTTTTTATTGATTTATGAATGAGGAACTACAAAACCGAATGCTTTGAAATACTAGAGATGTAAATTTTTGATCAAAATGTATTAAATTTGTTCATCCCCCCTAGAAAATTGATGACGTCACCTCAAAATATTGCCGAATAAATCTTGAATGTGTAAAATATGATCAGTCTGTACTTGTATTTTATCATTCCATTAATATTTTTTAGATTTGCTTATACAGACTGACTCAAAAAAATTATCAGAAAATTGTGCAAAGAAAAAACTCGACTCCAAAATCCTGGATATGGCTTTTTGTAGTTTAGATGTAAAGGAAAGTCTCTCGAAACAATTTTCGACCAATTTTTTCTTTTTTTTTTCATATTCAAGGGTATAGATCTTGACGTGCTGATTCCAAAAATATAGCATGTTTAAGGTCACGGAGCAATATTTTCGAAATATTCGAAGTGAAATCTGAATGTTTCAAAATTGCGATATTTCAATTGACAATTCTGGAAACCCGGTTGGACTTAAAAATAAAATTCCCAAAATCAAATCTTATAATTTTTTGAAAAATCTGCATCTTCTAGTTACCTTCGATCAATTTTTTGATATTAGAATTTTTCGTTTTTCTTTTTCTTCGATTTTTAATATTCCGTGTCACAATTTTTCGTTTTTTCATTTTCGGTTTTTCAATTTTTCGATTTTACAATTTTTCATTTTTCGATTTTTCAGTTTCTCGTTCTCGATTTTTGATTTTCATTTTTTCAGTTTCATATAACAATTTTTCCTCTTTACAATTCCTTCGCTTTTTCAACATCTCTTTAAATTTTACAGTTTTAAAATTGAAAAACTGAAAAATTAAAGAATTAAAAATTGGTGAAATTCTTTCTTCAGAGCCAATAACAACAAATGATGAAAACGGAATAAGGGTGGGTGGGAGGGCCCTCTTTTTACTTTATTTTTAAATCTTTCACATTTTACAGTAAATAAAATAAGTCAGTGAAATGAACATAAGACGTAGGCGGAGCTGAGTTTAGGTTGTCCAAAGACTACTCTTAATATTATTCAGTCTTATCTTGGCAAGTACTAAAAAAAAAATTAAAAATTGAAAAATTACAAATCAAAAAATTGCAAATGGAAAAATTGCAAAATCTGAAAACTGAAACATCCAAAAGTTGGGAAATCGAAACTCTGAAAAATTTAAAAATAAAACTCGAAGAGTCGCATATCTTAAAAATGAAAATTGAAAAATCGTAAATCGAAAAATTTAGGAAACGAGAAACCGAAAAAATTAAAATTGTAAAAACAAAAAAATAAAATCTAAACACTGAAAAATCGAATAAGTGAAAAAATAACGAAAATAAATACCGAAAAATTTAAAATATAAAAATTGAAGAAATCAAAAGTTGGAAAATTGAAAATTTTAAACTTGAAAACTCGAAAAATTGCAAATCGAACAACCGAAGAAAAAAAATGAAAAACTGAAGAACTGAAAAATTCAAGCAAAAAATCGAGGCGAGGGAAGTTCTGTCGAAATAATCTTCTACAATTTTACTCATTTATTTTATTGTACCATTTCATAAATTATGTCCCACCTCACGTCTTTTTTATATACTTTTTTTGGTATAAGTAAATTTAAATTTCGTTGTTCCTTTCAAATAACTCGTCCATCTCCCATTTCATTGTTTCTACCCATAGTTTGTGTAGAACTTTTGAACTCTGTTTGGTGATAACAAACAACATAATGTCAGCTAATAATAATAGTCGGACAGCTAGCGACCGATTTACTTCGGTATTTTAGCAGTCATGAAAATTAATGGACAAACTCTCGTGTACATGCTAAATGAAGAATACCGATCCTGACAACTTTAGTGACGAAATTCAATTATAATATTTAGAATTATTTATCCGAATAATTTACATTCAACCATATTTAAATTTTAACAACGACGAAATAACAAAAACATAAAATTAAATTTTCCAACTTTCACAACAAATACTGATCTCGAAATGACTGACTTGTTACTTTATACAGGGTATGGTAATGGCTGAATATCGCGAGAACGGCTTATCAGAACTCATTGAAATTTGGTACACAAGTAAAAATATTTGAACTCTATCCTCTGAAATATTATTCAAATTTCCATCAACAATTGTTTTCAAGATACAAGGCCAACGTATTTTTTTTTAATGGCATGAGGGGTCAAATTTAATATTTTTGAAAACGTTTTTGATCGAAAACAATTACCAGCAAGATATGTCAGTTTTTGAAGCGGAATTTATTCACACAGAGAGATGTTTTTCCTTAATTGTAGGATTGATTGCTAAAAAATCCTTTTATTTGAGCCTTACTCTACTTGTGCAGGAGGACGTTGAGTAAATTTTATTTTTCGTGTGCTTTAGACGGACGAATCGAATTTTCCAAGGGATGGTGTGTTTAATCAGCATAATCAACACTATTACAGCTTTGAAAATCCCTATTGATACGACAAAGAGCAGTTTCTTTGATTTTATTTGTTGCAACTAATCTTGTTTTGGCAAATTTTGTCGTTTCTGTAATTTTTTTGACAGTTTGCACTGTTTCATATTTTTTATTTCTCATCATGGCCATTTAAGATGAAAAATTATCACTATCTAAAGTTTACAATGTTCCAAATTTTGTTGTGTAAAAAAGTCTTTATATATATCTTGCAAAGTTAAAGTGCTAGATTTTTTTTTGGATTATATGCAGTTACTACAAAGTTTGGTATATAGTTGGTCTCTCATTTTTTGAGCATGCTGTATGTAATAATTAAAATATAATAAATATATTTTATTTTAGCTACAAAAATCCAAGCGTAAGTAACATAATATTTTACTTGAGAAAATATTACATAATAAATATGTCTACCTACATGTATAAACATAAAGTATATCAAATTATTTTAATTCAAATTTTCATTTCTGTTCAGGCAGTTTCCCAAATATGGCTTCATATGCCACGCATAATTTTGCCAATTTTCTTGGGTTATTACCTCCGAAGCATTGCTTACCTGGATATATAATTCATAAATAAATGCAAATACGATTTTGTAAATTTTAATCAAAATTATTCAGAGATATGAAAAATATTTTCGTTGTCTGTTTTTGATCATACTGTTACGTTGAACGGGTGAATAAAATCGGCGTAGGTTACACTCAACAACTTATTTCTTAATAACTCGAATTACATGACTGATTATTACACGGCGCAACTCGACTGTACTCTCGTGGACTCGATTTGCTGAATAACCCTCGTTCCCGACGATTATATTTAAACCTATACCTTCATCTCGATGGTTCGAGAATGCCGTTTCGAGGGTTTTCTGGGTTGCCCATCGCGACTTCAGCTTTCAGGCTTTTCGTCAGCGAATGCTGCATCGCCCGCCGTACATATCAAAATAAACACATATATACTAGAAGCTACTAAAAGTAGCTATTAAAATACAATAATTATTATTGTTGATAAACTAATTGACAATATTACTCCTATATTAATCAGAATTATTAATTTTTTACTAATTCTCTTTTCTAGGTGACGGAACTGATTACCTCAATGTTGCAATTAAAGATGGTTGTCTTAGTCTTACCATGGGATTAGCCAACGGTAAACAAGAAATGCAAATAAAGCCTAATAAAGTACGATTTGATGACAATCAGTGGCACAAAGTAAGCGTCCATCGGAGAATACAAGAGGTGAGCAACAAAAGCGGTACAAAATTCCATTCGCAATAAAAGATTTTTGTGTTTTAGATTTCATCTATTACAAGCTTTTGTCGGGTAAGTCGATTTATTACATTACATTACAAAGTAACCAATAGCATGTAATGTATGACGTAACATTAGTGGCGAACATCTGCAGTGCTATAATATTCTTTAATCAAGTTACAGTAGAAACTCTAATGAGTACTCCAATAATATTTTGCATTTAAAAACAGTGTAAGCACTTAATCGCATTAAACTAAGTATCTTCCTACTTACATAATTTTACGAAAGTTTACAATCCGATTATGCAATAAAATTTTTGTTGTCTCAGTTAAGTAATAATTACAGTAATAAGCTCCTTTTTTATAAAGGTCAACTATTCTGCTTGTTATTTAATTTCTAACCGTATTTAAAATTTTACTCTCCAAGCGTAATTAAGACGTACTTACGCTTGTTATTGGAGTTGCATTGTACAGGATTTAAAACATCCCAAATTGGCGAACAAGCTAAATAGGACATATCCAGGAATCTTTTTGACTACTCGGTACTCTTTAACAATATAACGTTTATCTCTACAACACTGAAAACACATATGAAATAAATACAAAAGTCACATTAAATATAGCCAAAATCAAAATAAGTTGGTCTCGGAAACTCTTCGCGTTAGAGCAGTGACTTCGAGAATAAATGTTCAAATTCAGGTTGTAAGAAACTATGAAGTTTAAAACTTTCTTCATTTTTTATTTTACAGCTTTCTGCAGTGGTAGATGGTGTATATGCAGATCACTCTCACATTGCTGGAAAATTTACCATGTTATCATCAAGTCGCGTGTATGTGGGTGGGAGTATTAACACTAGGGCACTTCCTGGAGCCAGAGTTCACAACAATTTTATCGGTTGTATGCGAAAGGTAGGTTTAAAATAAAATATTTATCTAGTGTCAGTTGGCATGAAAAATCTCATATTCATGTATTTTTTAATTCCCGTGTGTTGAAGTTACGATTGTTTAGTTTAGCCAAAGAACACGTCTCATAAAGCTTATTCGAAAATTATTTCGTATTTACTTAGACCTTCCTACACACTAAACGCGTGGTATCACTTTTCATTCTAGTGCGGCAACCCACACAGCAGCTTCCAAAATAGGATCATTATTTTCGCCTACTACTACCAAACGCCCCACTATCGAATTCCCTAATAATAGCATATACTTATTATATCGGGTGTGTCAAAAGCCGCGGAAGAGCCGAATATGTTGAGAAAATAATTTTAAATTTTCTTTATTTATAATTAACTTTAGTTAATCAAAATGTAAGTAAACCTTCTGAGTTTTTTATAGTCAATAAAAACTTACTAAAACATTCTTTTTTGCCCGACCGGGAGCTTTCTTCAGACTTAAATACTGTATTTCACATGTCTTAAAAAATAAAATTAAAAAAAAAAAAACAAAAAACAATTAAATCAAAATAATTACAAGATTACAAGCCCATGCAACATAATAAATCGGCATACATTTCTCACTTTTGGTTGTAAACGAAATGCATACGCTACAAAATGCCCGGAAGAAGCGGGTTTCGACTTCTTCGGAATCCAATAACACCGCGTAAAATATAATTTTGATTTTTACAGGAAATGTGTTTTGGGATATTGGGTAAACGTTACGTCCGTTCGATTGTGGGATTACATTACTAAAGATAGGCAGAAATAAGTTTTCGACTCCCACCACTAGTCCACAGCGCCGTGCGGTTAAACGGATGCCTATGAAGCGGTTAATCGAGGAGCTCTAACTTATTTTCGCCTAACAGTAGTCATTATGCATAATTAATCGTTTGATTAAGAAATATGGACTTTTTAAATCTATAATTCTTCCTCTCTTGTATAAAGAATATTTTCCAATTGTCAAAATTTGTAGGTCGAATTCATCGCAGATACATTAAGACTGAGTCTTCTTGAATTAGGAAGATCTGGAAGTCATCTTATTTCAGTGGCAGGTCAACTTGATTACAAATGTCCGGCTGGAGAATCACATGATCCTATCACTTTTACAACTAGGGAATCTCATTTGGTACGTATACTAACGTCTTTTCCTTGCACATATTTAGCAACAGGTTTTTTGACGTAGACTTTGTACATTTACGATAGACAAAGTACAAGACAAATTATCTTTGCAACGTCATCTATTAAAATTTTGTGAAATTTATTTTGTTATAGATCTTACCTCCATGGAACGCCAAAAAATCTGGAAATATATCTTTCAAATTTCGCACAAATGAAGCAAATGGTTTAATACTTTTCAACGGAGGAGTCCGGCCACCACGGGTAAGATCTTGAATTGTTTCTAGTCAAATATTAATTAAACTAACGTAAGATCAAGGACTGGATGGAGATAAATTCATATTTTATATACCACGATGTACACAGGGTGCCGTATCCTAGTTTGGGCATACTAAGGAATTAACATGGACAACTGGTTTTTATTTTATAATATCTCCCCAGATTACTTTAAAGCTATTATCATTGTTTAAGTATATTATAGTTGGACAACCTATACGGACAATCACTTTCCCATGTAGAAAAGAATGAATATATATTTTACATCTCACTCGCTTCACCATGAAGTGGTGGTACCTTAGGAAAGGGGGTGAAAATAGTCCGTAAGCACGTGATGTCGATAAGGTAGTAAACGGACGTATTAATCAGTACGTTGTACGGGGAGCAGTCACAAAATAAGCAAACGTACGTGTTGAAGACTTTACATATACCTATGTAATATATGTATATGTAGTGCATACCTGTTTCAAGGTTAAGGTAACAAAAATTTAATATTATCGCGGTATACCTATTATTCATGAACTGCATAACAAATATGCGTCCCTTCGTCCACTTTAAAGGTATACGAAATTAAACGACCACTACTTTAATTAATAAGTAACAAGTCATCTAATTTGCCTCCAGAATAACTATGGATTGTCATCAAACTATGAACACCAAATTCATTCAATATGAACATCTTCTTACGTATTTTTTTTATTAACAGTAGTCAAATCATTAAATACATATTATTTTTGAAACTAAAATGCATTTTATCCTAAGATTGTATCACAAAATATTCATCACCATTTAAATATATACGATTTAGACATCAAGAAATAAATTTAAAACTGCAAAAATTATACTAAAACAGCCTTAAATGTGTCTTGTATGTATGTACGTGCTTATCAGTATGTAGGCATTTTAACGCACAGCAATAATCGTTCTTGATGAGTAATGACTGATGACTACTGTAACACAGTAAATCCTCGAAATCGAAAATTTAAAACACTGAAAAATTCAAATATGGGAAAATTGTAAAATCGAGAAATCGAAACATAAAAAAATAAAAAAAATAAAAATTGGAAAATCTAAAATTTAAAAATCGAGAAATTGAACAATCGGTTAATTCAAAAATCGAAACATCGAAAAATTGGAAAATCGAATAAAAAAAAAAATTGGACAATCGAAAATTTAAAAATTCCGAAAATTGAAAAATTGAAATATAGAGAACTGAAAACTCAAAAAATCGAAAAAAATTAATAATTTCAAAAATTGAAAAGTTAAAATTGAGAAATCGAAAAACTGAAAAATCACAAAATTGAACGAAATATCAAAAAATTAGGAAATTAAAAAATTGAGAAACAAAAAAAGTCAAAAAACCAGAGTCTAAAAATCGCAAACTTAAAAAATCGAAAAATTGGAAAATCAAAATCCTGAATAATCGAAAAATTGAAGAACTGAAGAACTGAAAAATCGAAACTTTAGGAAGTGGAGAAATGGAAATATAAAAAAATAGATTAATTGAGAAATCCCAAAACTAAAAATTCAGAAACGTCAAAATTTGAAAAATAAAAAAATATTGAAGAACTAAAAAATCGAAAAATCTAAAATTTAAAACATTGAAAAGTTAAAATGTCCTAAAACTGAAAAATGGAGAAATCCAAACATCAAAAAATAAAAAAAAATCTAAAATTTAATAATTGAAAAACTAAAAAATCAACGAAGTCGAGAATTTAAAAAATTGGACAATTGAAAAATCGGATAAATCAAAAATCGAAACATCGAAAAATCGGGAAACCGAAAAACAAAAAATCGAAAAACCAACAAATCGAAAAATCGAAACATTGTAAAATTCAAAAATTGAAACATCGAGAAATCGAAAAATCAAAAGAGAAAAAAAATCGAGGAGTCGAAAAATCGAGAAGTCGAAAAATCAAAAAACTGAGAAACCGAAGTAGGCCAAAATCGAAAAATCGAAAACTTAAATATGGAAAAATTGATAAAGCGAGAGATTGAATAATCAAAAAATTGAAACATCCGAATCTCAATGAATTGAGATCTAAAAAAATTTAAACATTCGGAAATTTAAAAAATTAAAATATAGAACTGGAAACTCGAGAAGCCGAAAAATCTAGAAATTTAAAAATTAAAATATGAAAAAGTTGAAAAATTGAGAAATCGAAATAAAAAACAAAAAACTGAAAATCCAAAAATAAAAAATTGAAAAATCTAGAAGTCGAAAAATGAAAGAATCGAAGTATTGAAAAAATATCAAAACTGAAAGAAATATCCAAAAATTGAGAAATCGACAAACCAATAAAGCGAAGTTGAAAAATCGAAGAATTGAAGAACTGAAAAATCTAAACTTTGAGAAGTGGGAAAATCAAAAATAGATTAATTGAGAAATCAGAAAACTGAAAATTTAACGCAAAAATTTGAAAAATTCAAAAATTTAAATACTGAAGAACTGAAAAGCCAAAAAATCGAGAAATCGAAAAAACTAAAATTTAAAACAATGAATAATTAAAATATCGCAAAATTGAAGAATCGAGAGATCCAATTCAATTTGAAAAATTGAAAAATCGGGGCATTGAAAAATTGGAAAATCCAGAAATTGAAAAGCTCAAAAGAAAAAAATGGAAAAACCGAGAAATCCAAAAATCGAAACATCGAAAAATTCAAAAACTCAGACTTCGAGAAATCGAAAAATCGGAGGATCGAGAAATTGAGGAGTCGGAAGCCGAAAAGGAAAGTTAAAAATTGAAAAATTGAGAAATTGAACAATCAAAACAACGAAACATCTGAATTCGATAAATTGAGAAATTAAAAAATTGAATAATCGAAAAATTGTAAAAAAGAAAAACTGGAAAATCAAAAATTAAAATTCAAAAAATCGAAAAATTGAAAAATTGAAATATGTATAGAAAAACTGAAAACTCGAGATATCGAAAAACCTAGAATTTTAAAAAATGAAATACATATTAAAACATCGAAAAGTTTAAAAATTGAGAAATCGAAGCATTAAACAGTCCCAGAATTGAAAAATCTAAAGTTTACAATAAATTGAAAATCCAAAAAGGAAAAAAGCGAGAAATCAAAAAAAATCCATCAATTCAAAAATCGAAAAGTCGAAAAATTGAAATATTGAAAAATCTCATAACTGAAAGAAATATTCAAAAAAATGAGAAATTAAAAAATTGGAAAGTTGAGAAATCGAAAATCTAAAAAAGCAAAACTGAAAAATCGTAATCTTAAAAAATCGAAAAATTGAGGAATTGAAGATGTGAAAAATCGAAACTTTAGGAAATCCAGAAATGGACAAATAAAAAAAATACTTTAGAAATCGGCAAACTGAAAATTTAGAAACGTGAAAATTTGAAAAATTGAAAAATCGACATATTTAAAAACCGTAAAATTGAAGAGGACAAAAATTGAGAAATCGTATCATTGAAACATCGTAAGATTGAGAAATCGAAAAATAAAAAAATCGAGAAATAGAAAATTTAAGGAATGGAGGAATCGGAAAAGCCCAAAATTGAAATATTGAAAAATTGAGACATTTAAAGTTGAAAAATCGAGAAATCATCAAGCCGAAAAATCCCAATAGCGTATTTAGGCATAAATCACAAGATCAGGACTATTCTACTTTTTAAAATTTAAATAACATTATAAATTGGAAAATGTTGATTTTTTTTTTCAAAAATCTTGACGTCTAAGGTGACTCGACACGGATGCATAAACCGTAAACGGGGCGAAACTACAATTTTACTATTGTAAAATTTGGAGATTGCGTCATTTCATTGTTCGTGACAAATTTTGGAGGGTGTAATTTGATAATACAATTTGAAATGTAAATTTTGTCATTCGGGAACATTATGTATTAAATCGTTAAGATGTTCAAGAACTTTGTTCACTTATTCGTTGTAAAGTCCAATGGTCGAAATGGGTTAGTTCTTCGTAGTGGATGTGTATCACATCAACTCTAACGAATATCGGTTTATAGATAAATCGCTTAAAGCCGATATTGGCCTGAGTGTGCTTTGGTCTGTAGATCAAACAAGTTCTCAGGCGACGAAAAATTGCATGTGGAGGGAGACTTCGGATTACAAATCGTGTCAAGAAAGACATATTTGGGAGAGATGGATTTTCAGGTGCTTGACTAGCGGTAATTTTAAATTGTTTGCTGTCGTTCGCGAAGTGAAGAACACAATTTCATTAAAATAATAATTATAAAATTATCATAATCACTATTGGTGTTAATTAACACAAAATGGCGCGCAAGTTATCAGTTGATTTCGTTAATAAATTCATAGAAACCTATATGGAATTTTTTCATGCCTTAGAAAATTAAAAAGTAAAAAATACAATAACAAAAATTTTAAAATGCGGTTTACGAAAAATTAGTTGACCTGTGCAAAGAAGAAAATTTTAGAAACGCTGACAAATATGACATCTTAAAAAAAATAACACTTGAAGAAATGCTTTCGGCGTAATATTTTTGATGCTCCCGTGAACAAAATACTCTGTGTCAGTGTGCAGTGCGCAAAGAGTTAACTGTGCAGATCTAGCCGAAAATCGGAAGTAATAAATCATCCCATCGGTTGAAGAACGTTGGGTCGGTGCACTGATGTCGGTGTTATATCCCGAGAGGGGCCCAATACACCCAATAAAATGGAACAGACAAAATAAAGCTTCAAACATGATTATTTTTATACTAAAATTCTGAAGTTTACAAACTGCACATTTTTTTTATTGATTTATTTATTTATTTTATCTTGTTTTCGAACTATAATAAACATTTCAAACAATGTCTGTAACTTATTTTAATGTAAATTATATGCATGTGGTTAACAAAATCAGATGTAATATTAGTGTGATTTTGACCTTATTCTAGATTTTATTACAGCAGAACGGCGTATCCTTTTTAAATTTTAGAAGTTACGGAAACTAGTTCAAGAAACAATTAGTTATCTCGTATTTTTGGCACAAAATCTACCAAAATGTCC